AGAAATTTATTTTGTATTTTTCTGATTTTTATTTGATTTTTTAAAATTATTTTGGTGAAAATTCTATTTTTAAGCCCTAAAAATCATTTTTAAGGTTTAAAAATAGATATCTTTATTTTTTAAACCTTGGAAAATATTCCAATGATTCCTTTTGTTTAGTATTTTATGATTTCTTTTATTGTTTTTAGTTATTAAAAATAATTTAAAATAACCTTAAAATCAAGTTTTTATTTTAAATATATTTTATTTTTATTAAATCTCTCTGATATCAGAGAATTGAAAAAACTAAGTTTCATAAATTTTGAAGTTATATTTTGATTTTTAAAAATCATTTAAGTTTCAAAGTTGATGGTCACTTTTAAAAATCAGTTAAAAATGTTAAATGATCTCCAAATCCTTTGAAATTTTTATGGTTAGTTCTCTGACTCATGGGCCACAGTGGAGAACAAAAATCAAGTGATTTTAATATCTGTGTGCTTCAAATTAAATGTTTTAAGCAAATTAGGGTTTGCTTAAAACAGTGATGTTTTGATTTTTAAAAATCATGAAATTATTTCCTAAGACTCCTGTGGCCATAGGGAACTTTCATGAATTTATGTAGAATTTTCTAAGCCACATACAATTTTCTATAATTATTTGAATTCTAAGTCACATACAATTTTCTATAATTATTTGAATAGAAAATGCATAAAAACTTAGAAAATTAAGATCTCTGTCTAGAAATCTCCTATGTCTTTGGAAAAATGCTCAAATTGTGCACCTAGACAGATGCTACAATATATAAAAATTTGGGGTCAAGGTAATAATCCAATATAAATGAAGAATTGAAAACCCCTAACCCTAATTTATTTTTTAAAAATAATTCATGCATCAAATTAATGTGAAAATAATTCCACATGATTCTCCTATGTTCACTGAGCAAAAGGGTATTTTTATTTTTGAATTTTCTATGCAAAGATATGGATTTTTGAAGTTTAGAGGCTATTTTCTGAATTTATTAAATACCCTTTAATTATTCAAACTGCGGGCTGACTGGATCATCGGATCCGTCGAACAGCCACGCGACGCGCTTCCATTCGACGTCGCCTTCTGAGTCAGCTGTCACGCAGCCTCCCGTATCGTTCCAGAGGATTATCCGGCTTGATCTCCGCCGTCCATTCTCACGTGTGAGAATGGACGGCATCCATTCATCGTCCTCGATGGTCTTAACTGAGAGCCGTCCAACTTAAAACATTAATATCTCTCTCGTTTCTTAATGGATTTTGATGATTATATTTTGATTAATGGATTTTGATGATTATTTTTTTAAATTATTCGTCTTGAAGAGACGAACACATCTATATGGTAAACATTTTATGAAATCAAGCCATTATAAATGTAGATATCGCGAAGGCTCGGGAGAGTGAGTGAGACTATACCTTTGCTTCGATAGGTTTATCCTTGATCAGAGATTAATCACACCTTCGTTCGCAAAGAGCTTAGGGAGGAAGC